AAATATATGTAATATTTATTGAAAATATATTAAATCGATGCAATATATTTTATTGCGGGTTTTGAAAATGTTGATTTTGACGAAACGAAAAGTTACAGGCTAAGATAAAGCCTGCGATGCCATTTGAGTCCAGATCCAGAGGAAAATAAGCTCCAGATGCCATACTAGCCGAAACATTTTGGTGAAGTAAACATATTTTCACTACAGGAAGAAATGAAAAACAAGAAAATAAAGGAGAACATGTGGAAAAGATGGAATTCTTCAGTGATGAATCAAAAATGAAAATGAAGAACAAGAAAATAAAGGAGAAGAAGTGGAAAGGAATTCTCCAGTGATGAATCAAAAAATTAAAATGAAAAACAAGAAAATAAAGGGAGAGAAGTGGAAGGGATGAAATTATCCAGAAATGAATCAGATTACTCAATGTTTTGATATAAAAATGTTTTTTAATAATAAAATGAATACAAAATAAAAAATCAAACTCTGTACTTTTCTACAATTCTATTTTATCTATTTAATTTTTTCCTACAGATTTTCCAAAGATTTTGGCAAAAAATTTGGTGTTGAGTGTGAAAATATGAATATTTTGGAAAATTTTGTTCAAACATTATTTTTCAAAATAGCAAACTTAAAGTTCAGTTTATTGAGCGTATTTTATAAATTACTTCTTCTAGTATATTTTACAACATTTTTGCCAGAAGAAGTAGCAAAAATTTTTAAATATTATTGAAAAATTAAAAAAAAATATTTTTTTAAATATTTGGTCCCAAAATTTGGGTTTTGGGATATAGGTTGTTCACAAAATGGGTTTATTTGTGCAGTAACTACAAAAAAACTACATTTCTACAATAAATCTTGACGATATAAATCTAATATATGCGAAAATAGTCGATTTATAAGTCTAAATTGGGGTTTATGAAGCTCGAAAATTCAAACGGTCATAAAAAAAAATCGAGCTACACTGAAAGAAATTTGTTGCTAAAAGTAAATACAAATTTATACTAAAAATTTTATACTAGTGCTTTACACATTTATACTACTGTTTATTATGAATGTATGGTAAATTTTGTAATACATTTATTGTAAAGAAGATATGTTAGATCTAAATAAAAATAAACTTACCCTTACTATAAAATGTAAACTATAAGTGAATTACAGCAAAAAAATATTGCTAGAAACACCATTTATATTGCTAGGGCAGCAATAGGCTGCTAACCAAACGAATATATTTGTTTTAGCAATGTATGTGGTAGTCTATATATGAAACATAAAATATATTTGCCCTAATTATTTTTTTATTTAACTTTAGTATATATTTCTTTCAGTGTAACTTTTACAAACCCAGCAAAGGGTTTTGCTATTGGATAGGTATATTTTCAGAAAAAAATGGTCCGGTGCGGTTTGATTTCGATGACCCGAAAATTGTCGCACAGTGTAATTTATAATTTAAAAACCCACAGTAAAAGTAAATAAAATTTTTTTGTCATCAAACGACTAAAACAAAGTTTTTAAATGGATTTAGAAGTCAACAAAGTGTACCTGTATATTTTGAGCGTAATGTAAAATTTGATGTTTTTCCTCATTTTTTTTTTTTTATTATTATTCCATTAATTAGCATGCAAAGACGCAACTTTACCGCACTACTAGAAATCGATACTCCATGGTATACCATGGGATAACATGCATGGTATCCCGATATAATAGCCAATTATTATGTAAAATTATCCCCTGAATCCGAAAATACTGTCAAAAATGATAAAAGTAGAGCAGTTTATGAAATTTAGTCAATTCCATATTACATCGAAAATTGACTATATCTCAAAAACTGTTTTACTTTTATAAGTTTTGACGACATTTTTGGATTATGCAGATAATTTTACATAAGAACTGGCTATTATAACGGGGATACCACACTATCCCATAGTATAAGTGAAACAGCAGCCACTAATAACTGTACTCTCTAAAAATGAAATAGTCAAAATTATACTATTTGAATTAGTACCAGCATTTTTTACTGATAAAAATAAAAACTTTTAAATAGTTATTTTTTACTACAGAAATAGTTAAAGTTTGACTAATTTAAGTGTTTTAACTCTCATAAAAAAGTAACTAATTTCTTTAATCGTTTGCGGCCAACAACAAAGTATTATTTGAATTAAATGCATATACCTAAGCTTCATGGTTAAATGACCCATAAAAACAAATAAAGATGCAAAAAGTTTAGCTCACACAAATAATATAGTCAACTTTAAAATATTATGAACAATATTTATTGACAAATTAATTTGATTTTTATAAGAGCGGCTGACAGCCGACAGCTTGACAAGCTTGACAAGTGACAGACATGAGTTCATTCTCCGGCTGGGTCAAAACTTTTTTTAAATTTAAATCTACTAATTTGACTATTTCATTCAGTAGAATTTGACTAACTATTAGTGACTGCTTTTTCGATATGAAAATTAGTCAAATATGACTTATGATTATTTATTTTTGACTAATTTATTTTAAGAGAGTAGTAATTACTCATTTTTGACTAATCAGCCATTCCACTCTACTCGGGAATTTTTGTAGCGCCCGTTACAATATAAAATTTTGAGTAAAAGCTTCGTGGTTAAATGACCCATAAAAACAAATAAAGATGCAAAAAGTTTAGCTCAAAACAGCAACACAAATAATATATTCAACTTTAAAATATTATGAACAATATTTATTGACAAATAAACTTGATTTTTATAAGAGCGGCTGACAGCCGAATGGGTTGTGACAACAGCTTGACAAGCTTGACAAGTGACAGACATGAGTTCAATCTCTGGCTGGGTCAAAACTTTTTTTAAATTTAAATCTACTAATTTGACTATTTCATTCACTAGAATTTGACTAACTATAAGTGACTGCTTTTTCGATATGAAAATTAGTCAAATATGACTTATGATTATTTATTTTTGACTAATCAGCCATTTCACTCTACTCGGGAATTTTTGTAGCGCCCGTTACAATATAAAATTGTGAGTAAAAGCTTCGTGGTTAATTGACCCATAAAAACAAATGAAGATTTGATTTTTATAAGAGCGGCTGACAGTCGAATGGGTTATGACAACAGCTTGACAAGCTTAACAAGAGACAGACATGAGTTCAATCCCCGGCTGGGTGAAAACTTTTTTTAAATTTAAATCTACTAATTTGACTATTTCATTCAGAAGAATTTGACTAACTATTAGTGACTGCTTTTTCGCTATGAAAATTAGTCAAATATGACTTATAATTAGTTATTTTTGACTAATTCATTTTAAGAGAGTAGTAATTACTCATTTTTGACTAATCAGCCATTCCACGCAACTCGGGAATTTTTGTAGCGCCCCTTATAATAAAAAATTGTGAGTAAAAGCTTCAGTAATTGAATTAAATACTGTTACAATATTTAAACGCATGTTTATTAATAATGTGTGTGTAATAATTGGGCTTACTTATAAGTAGTGTTGCAAACAAGGAAAAGTTCGGTCGAAAAGTTGGAAAAGTTGGAAAAGTTCGGCACCCCCTATGAAAAGTTTGAAAAGTTGGAAAAGTTATTAGGTGGGAGCCAATGAACAATGAGTTAACTTCTAACCAGTGTTTCCACTACCATAAATTTTTTTTGGTAGATAATTTGGAAAAAAATTCGATATAAATCGCTAGATTTGAAGTGTTTTTAGTAAAACATGCTAAAAGCATTGTTTTTTGGAATAACATTTTGTCAAACTTTATCAAAAATGGTGTCTGCTAACAGCATTTTCTATTATATAAAGATTCTTTTATTATAACGTATTTTAAATTTATACACAGTATGAAAAAAATATTATTTTTTTTTAATTATGGAATTTAAATTTGCAAGTGAAAATATAAAAGTGGAAAAGAAGAAAGTTTTCTTCTCTTTATCTTTTTAAATTTTTACTTGTAAATTTCCATAATTTTTAGTAAAACATGCTAAAAGCATTGTTTTTTGGAATAACATTTTGTCAAACTTTATCAAAAATGGTGTCTGCTAACAGCATTTTCTATTATATAAAGATTCTTTTATTATAACGTATTTTAAATTTATACACAGTATGAAAAAAATATTATTTTTTTTAATTATAGAATTTAAATTTGCAAGTGAAAATATAAAAGTGGAAAAGAAGAAAGTTTTCTTTTCTTTTTCTTTTTAAATTTTTACTTGTAAATTTCCATAATTTTTGACAACAATAAATTTAATAATTTTTGTAATTATTTTTTATTTCGTATGTGTTTTTTTATGGTGTGTATAAATTTCTATTCCTTTTTACTTAAAAAATATGATTTTTTTAATTCAAACCTAGTTTATTTTTGTTGTTATTATGTTGTCTGTTCATTTTATTTTGTTTGATATTTTTTTTGTTATTTTGTTACGTATGTATAAATAAGAAATAAATTATTTTAATACATTGACAAGCATTATTTATGTTTTATACGTTTACATTACAAAAAACTCAACTTTTCCATCTTTTCCAACTTTTCCGAAAAATAAAACCCAACTTTTCAAAAATTTCAACTTTTCATGAAAAGTTTCAACCCTACTTATAAGCATAATAATTAAGGTAGTTTTACTCACAATTTTTGATTGTAACGGACGCTACAAAAATTCCCGAGTAGCGTAGAATGGCTGTGAATCATTTTTAGAGAGTAATAAATAGGTCGCATTCCTCAAAATAAAGCTACTGCAGTCTGCAGAACTTCAGAAAGCGGTATTCCTTACCAAACCTCGGCACTGCCACTGCGTTTGTACAATAGGAGTGCAAAGGGGAGATAATGCTCTCGGATTTGTGCGCCACGGCGAACCAAACGTCAAGACTGGTTTGGGCTGCTGGTGCTTCTGATCGCACCACCGCTTTACGTACCGTCCCGATGCGAGTCCCATGGACGAGGAAAATATCCACGAATCGGTCATTCAAGGTAGCAAGTTCACGTATCGCCGACGGGCCTCTCTCGTATACCTCATACCTATACAGCAACAGGTATTCTCGTTTTACGGGGCCGCACCTGTACACGCTGCGCCGTTTACCTCAGTCGTCGTCTGCGTGACACACAGTGCACACAGCAATATATTTCACTGCGCGTCGGATTATTCATTTATTAATTTGTTTATCACGTTAGTACGTTAAGTAGCGACAGCCATTTATCACAAATTTAAACAGTTTTTAACAAACATTTTAATAGTGTGTATGTGCAAAGATAACATTGGATTACCTTTCAAACACCGGCAAAAATTATAAAAAGTGAGTAGGTACCTACTGAGCATTAATTCACAACATAAACACAGGAACTTTATCTACAGTTTGTTAAGAATTCAGGTTACAACGCTTTAGGGTGGATAAATCATGTTAAGTATACTTTTTTTACAGACATTTTTAATATACAGAGGCTTTTACTTGTATTTGTAACCCACCTACTAAAAGAACATATTATGGATTTGGGTTTTAAATGTGTACCAAATTTCAAATAACTAAAATATACTTACAATCTAAAATTCTTTGACGGTTTTAATACGTATTAACAATCTATTTTGACATTCCTAAATATGACAAAAACATTCTTAAATCTACATAATAAAATTATGATTGACATACTTATTTTACCATTATAAAATTGTGGTTTTCACTTAATTTTATAACTATAGTTTATAAACCCAACAAAAAACCTATTTAAAGTTTATTAAAGACTATAAACTAATTCACAACATAAACCTAAGAATTTTATCTACTAAATCTTCAAATAATGAATTCTAAACATGCATTGTTCAAAAACGCTCTCAAGATTGTTGTATTAAAAAATCTTCGCGTTTTTTAACCCATACATGGTTAAACAAGATCCAACCCATATTTTACCCAATATGGGTTAATCGTTATCATAAAATCTAGGTTCAGTTTTATTAATTATTAATATTGTTTTGTACCCCACATCCAACACCAATATTTTGTTTGTGTTTCGTTAAAAACAAATTCAAGGCGAACCAATAGAAAATTAAATCGTAATTATCATGACATTGTTTTTTATCATTAAATTGCCTACCGTGAGATTAAATTAATTTTTTTGTGAACTAATGTTATTTATTAATAGCATTAAGAAATATTTTTCTTATTTAATGCTTACTTAGTTTAATTATTTATTTATAGTAAGAATTAATTTTTTTTATTCGCATTAGTAAAATTCTATACATATGTTTTAAAATATAATATATGGAATTTTAATATTTATGATATTTATTAGAATTTGCAAATTATTTTTAATTATAATTGATATTTAAACATTTCTTTTATTGACTTAAATCAGTCACGAATATTAACTTTCAAATACTTTTATTTTTAGAATGTAGAAATATATTTTCTTTGATTAACATTGTATTGCGTATTTTGTGCAAACCTATTTGTTAAATACTTAAGTAATTACTTATTATATTACAAAACTAGTTGGCTTAATTGATAAACCATGTAAAAAATTTAACACTTATTTTTTCTTATTCAGTAGAATGCATTGTTTAAAGGTGTTTAACTGGGTCGAGACAAATAAATTCCATTTAACTTATTCAACAAATATTGTCTTAATAGTTTTCTAGAGACAAATTATAAATAGATTGGTATGGCAAATGATATGTCTGACTATAATTAAAAAAGTTTAAGTTAATGCATTTTAAAAGAGGTAGTTAATATACAGGGTGCACCAAGTACCTTCTATGTGTGGGTATATTTTTTATTTGAAGATCGTTTAATTTTAATTTAAATAATTTGAAAAAACTGAAATCCTATCACAAACAAAATTCGTTATGGGTGATTCCAAGTCAGATCAGGCAGGTTTTGACCCTCACCCCCCTCTGATTTTGACGAAAATCGCTGTATGGGCTTCAAATGGGCCCAAATGGACCTGACTGCAAAAGTTTAAAAAAATAATAAAAATTGTGGATTTTATGGAGGGTATCATTTTTGGAACTTTTCAGATCAGAGTTGTTCGACATCTTATTTTAAAGAAAAAAGAATATAATTTATAATTATTATTTAAATTTGTATAATTTTTCATTAAAATATATAGTTTTAAATGTTTCAAAAACACCCCTTTTTATTATTTTTATTTTTTTATATGTGAGGAAGCATTCTCGGTCCTAAAATATTTTTGGGTATTTTTTTCATAAAAATACTAAATTTTAAAAGGAAAAAATATTGAATTATTTTAATATAATGTGTCATAACCTTTACATTTTTGTAGATAACCTGTAATAAATAAAAAAATATGCTTTAATTAAAATATTTTCTTTGAACAAAAGTAGGTTCATTTTTTTGTTTGAACTCGTGCAAATTTAAGGAATTAAAACAACGTGGCAAATTTGGAAATTTAGTTGGCTATAATTTCTATTTTAGATTAAAAATTTTAAAATTTAATAAATATTATTGGTTTAACGAACTATTAGCAGATAAATATTATTTGGTTATAAAATTAAAATAATATTTATCTGCTAGTAGTTTATTACTAGAAAAAATTTTGTTATTTTACTATGAAATAGTTCTTTGTTTAGATATCTATAACCGTTTTTCTAAGTCACACAAACCTTAAAACTATTTTAGCTTAATTCATAATAACTTTAAAATATTTAATTTTATAATAAAAAAATATTACTCATCTCCAAATAGTATTGAATAGAATTACTAAAACTAAGAATGCAAATTAAAATGGCATACATTGCCAAAATAATTAAATTCTACAAGTTCAAATAAAAAAACAATTTTATCAATTACTTACCGGGTAGAAAACAATAAAAAATATTTAAATGAACCTACTTTTGTTCAACGAGAATATTTTAATTAAAGCATATTTTCTTATTTGTTGCAGGTTATCTACGTAAATTTAAAACTTATAACACATTATATTAAAATAATTAAATAATTTTTCTTTTAAAATTTAGCATTCTTAAGAAAAAAAATACCCAAAAATATTTTAGTACCAAGAATCAAACCCAAGCCCACTAAATAAGAACTAGGTAGGCGCTGGGTATACGAACACGGAATATTAAAAAAATCATATCTCCCTTTAAAAAAAATAACCCCTACCAAAATTTGGGTAAGTGTAGAAAAAGGTTTTCTTCTTCACATATAAAAAAAATAAAAAATAAAAAGGGGTGTTTTTGTTATATTTAAAATTGAATTTTTCAAAACTATATAATTTAATGAAAAATTATTCAAATTAAAACAAAGGATAATAATTAAAAAGTATAATCTTTTTTCTTTAAAATAAGACGTCAACCAACCTTCTGGGTCAATTAGGACCCAAGATATAAGCAAAACAATATACCTCTGATCTAAAAAGTTCCAAAAATGATACCCCCCACAAAATCCACAATTTTTATTATTTTTTCAAACTTTTGCAGTCAGGTCCATTTTGGGCCATTAAAATCAAGGAATCAACAAAATTTATTGCGGCCATTATCAAAACAAAAATACCTAGTGATGGTAACTCAAAATATAGTATCAAAGAAATAAGATAAAAATGTAGATACATTTGTAAATTTTCCTTTTTTTAAACTCGCAAGCTATAACGATTTTTAATTTTGACAGGTTTTTAGTTTTTTAAATATTTTACAAGACCTGTTTTTTTTTCTACAATTTTCAAAATTCATTTTAATAACTAGTTTTCTATAAAATAACAGCCTTTGTAGCTCTTCGAACAAAAAATACCCATTTGTATAGTTTAAACATAGAAGGATAATTGGTGCACCCTGTAGCGATTCTCAAAATCTTTTGATGGCGGAGCCCCTATTTATAAAGTCTATCTCCTAGACAAAAACAAACTTGTTTTTATCTAGGGTCTATCTACTATGACACACTACATGGAGTTCATTGTAATGCAAAAAAAATATAAGTAAGGATAAAATTAAAAAATTAAACCAAGTAAACATTTAAAAATATATATACATTGAGACTAATGTAATAATTCGCGGAGTTCTGAGAAACCATTCATTTAGTTGGCAATCAAACAAACTGTAGTATACGATAATGGTGTTTTTTTGGCTTTTAGTGAAAAAAACATCATTATTTTTTATTGTTTTTTTAATTATTATTTTATAAAAACGTGTTTTCTTAGAAAAATTCTTAGAATTTTAAGTTATTCAAGGTTCAACAAAATGACAAAAATTGCAGTACTGTGAGCGCACGACTATATTCAAAGAATTTTTGGAATTTTGAGAATGTTCATAAATCACGTCTTTGGCTTTATAACCATGCAAATTTATTTTCAATTGCAAACATTTTTAGTTCTTTAGTACAAAGTCAGGGCCGTAGCCAGAGTGTTTATTCTGCCAGGGCCATGGGGTTCATAGCCAAGGCATCATGGGGTATTTCACGCCAAATCACCAACTTTTGTGTCCAACACTTTTTAATTTGACTGAATTTTTAATATATTGTATTTACCAACTAAAAACGTTTTTAAGAATTTATTTTGAATTTTACCCAACGCAAAATTAAAAAAAGCAGCACTGCTGAGCAGTGGCGGCTGGTGGATTTTGGGCACACCCATATCTCAGTTATTACACCGAAAAAAATAATGTAGTTGAGTTAAAATTTGCCTAAATGTCATTTTTAAAAATGTTGTTTCAACAAAAAACCTATTGGATTAATCTATATTTTGGTGTTAAAGCAAAAGTCAGAGTTTGTCAAAGTTTATTTGTTCATTTGACAGTTTAAATATTAATTTAACATAAACTAATATTTTGAATTAAAATGTTTATCGTACTTTGATTTAATAGCTGGAATTTGTTGAATCAACTACTGAAATTTTTAGGATTACCTAAAAAAACTATTAAATTAACGTTTAGTTGCTCTTTAATCCAAAACTTTAAATTTGTTCATTTAACAAATTTAAAATGTTACTTTAAAATTTAAAATGTAAAATTTGCATTCATAAAATTACCGAGAATGGCGCTTCGAACACTCACGCCACGTCATTAGACAATGACGTTTTCTTACATCTCGCCTTAGTTAGCTTACGATTAGGTGTATATAAGATGAGATATCTGTTTGTTTAAGGTGTGTTCCACAGTAGAACTTTCACTACACCATATTGCCCGACACTGTTAAGACCCTCAATACAGGGCGAAACAGTCTGTCGGTATTTGAAGTAGGTGGAACACATGATACAAAGATGTATCATGTGTGGAACACGCTCAAAACAAAAACTCTGGGCGAGGTGAAGGTTCAATTCTTTCTATTTATATATAATAATATATTATTTCCATAATTTTGTTTTGGATACCAACCTTTAAAGAATTTTACATTTTTAGAATGTTAATTTAACATTTTATTGGTGTTAAGTGAATATGCTAAAAAGGTTACCTGGACATTTCAAGAAATTTACCTTAACACCCTAAGAATGTTAAATTAACCAAATTAGCAGATTAGAACAAATATTCTTATTTTGTTCATTTGACTGTTATTTGTTGTTCAATTAAACAATACAATTTGACATTTTTAGATGGTTAAGTAAACGTGCAAAAACCATTGCTTGTATTTAAAGTGCATAAAGAGTTGAATTAATATTTTTTTTTGTTGTTTCAACAGCTTATTTTTTTCAGTGTAGACATGGGACCCACATCAAATTTATAGAGTTCTGCGCAAGCAGAATTTAAATTGAAGTTTGCGAAAAAAACTTAGTTTCTAAGTGTGCCCCCCAGCCTCCTGCCCCCCCAAATTAAGATAATTCAAATTAAAGTGGTACAATATTAATTTCAAATTTTATTAAAAAAATTCAAGAATTACAGGTTACAGGTGGGCAAACTTTTCTTTTAATTTTTTATAATAAAATAAATATATAAAAAAATAGAAAGAAAAGTATTTGGGAAATTAAACGCAAAATAAATTTAAGTTTGTTTGAAAAAAAAAAAATAATGGCGAATTTAGGTATATTTTTATATAAAAAACTTAAAATATTACAAATTATTTAAAAAAAAACGACTCAATTAGGGGCCGTTCAAGTATTACGTAAGCACTATAGGGGGGTGGGGGGGTCTTTGCTTTGCTTATTTTTGATGACATGGGGGGTAGGGGGTCTAGATGGTGATTACGTCAGCAGTAGTTATTTACTTTTTTTACACATATGGCAACCCACACATTGTCTATGCTTGAAAACAAAAAGACCAATGTTTACGTAAGCATTGTAGGGGGGGTAAGAGCTTTGATTACTTTTGCTGACAAGGGGGAGGGGGGGGGGTTAATAATTGTAGTAAATCTGCTTACGTAATACTTGAACGGCCCCTTAGTCAGTTTAAAAAAAAGTAATAATTGTTTCAAAAGCACCAACTTTCTGGGGAGTTTAAAAACCATGTAAAAAAATTACAGAAACGTTTTTAGTGGGGTAGTAAATTTCAGTCAAAGGGTTCAACTTTAAAAGTGGTCGGCGTAAAATGCCCCATTTATTGCAGTTTTATTTAATATTAGGAATATTTTTTATTACATTATTTATTATTTCTTAAACTGCTACCTATATTAAAATATATATTAATTTTTAAATAAGTTTGAGGCGCCCTGATTCGCCCTCTTCTTTATACGGCCCTGCACAAAGTGCATTATAACAATTTTTAAATGTGTTAAAATTCCACTCAGAAAACATAAAGGTGCAACCTTGCATAACTTCTTTATTATTCATAAATACTTTTTATCTTTATCTTTCGTTTCGGTAAAAAATATTTTTGTTGTTTGTAATATAATTTACCTATGTATTAGTGTTAGAATTTATACCAAAACTTGGTCTCAGAAAAGTTATTTGAAATATTACTCCGTGTGATTAAATGTTATGGCAAAGTAATAAGATATTTCCCATTCAAAAGAAAGTATAAAATCAAAGTCTGTGTATACAACAAATTGTTCCTCGTAAGCACTAAATTAAAATAAATCGCACTTTTTTATTACCGATATTATTTATGTTGACTATACTTTTATCACCAAATGCCGATCGTGAGTAAAAATAATTTTGGATTCGAAACGAGTTTTAAACAAATTTTGATAAACCGGTTGCTCGAATGTTTATTATAATAAGCCAGCGTTACAAATTTCTGTTTGGTACGAGAAGAAATTGGGTTCATTCTTCATCGCGAGATGAATTGAGACCCGAAAAACATCAACAAGTGTTAATGCTTTCGCAGAGATGGCAAAATGTGGGAATATTATTATTTTCTTCTAATATTTGTTTTGTTCCATAAAAACCTAGCTTTAAATAATAATGCAAAAAAGAAAATGCAGCGTTTTAAATCTATCCTTCAAAAGTCAGGTTTTTGGACTTACTTTGGCTCTGGGGTACAGGTATAAACATTAGTTTGGCATAGATGCCATTATTAAGGTTAAGGGCTTATAAAATTTGTTAAAAAATATTTTTATTTTTCTTCTGATAGACAATTGTCTTAGAATATCAAAATTAAGAATTTATAAACCTAAAAAAATGTTGACTAGAATTCTATAATTAAGTATTAATTCAAAAGGAAAAATGTCAGTGGCGTACAGGTCTACAATTTAACGAACATAAACGTATTATATTTTAATTGGGGCTTCTTGGAAACCATAATATTTGGGCACATTAATACATTTTTAAGAATTTCATTTGGCAATAATTAGGCACTTATGACTACCAGACTAGAAAATGATAATTATTCGGCGATTACTTCTCAAATGAGTTAAAAATCTTTTTTCTATTTTATTTGAAAGTTTCTGACCACACCTCGAAAGATTTTACTTAGTTTAACGTCTTTATAGAAAACTAAATGAAGCATAAATAAATAAAAAGGCTAAGAAAAAGCATTAAGCGTTTGTTTAAGTATTAATAATTTCTTGGATGAGCAAACCTGAAAAGTTCGCCTCGGCGTAATAATGGGAAAGTAGAAAAAGTCTGTAGTCTAATTTACCATCACCCAAATACTATAATTTAATGGGCACAGGTGTCTTTTACTATTACAATAGTCTATTATTATTAAGTGTTTCTAGTATCTAGAGAACTCTGTTGATACTGTGCACACAGCCTAGTTAAGGTTTGTTGGCACAGCAAAAATTTATTTCTTAAGAAGTTAAAACAGTAAAATATTTATTCCGACACTACACAATAATGATCAAAACTTTGCTAAACTCAGGTTTACAAATTTGTAATCCAAAACTGCAGAAAAATAATTAAAATTAATACTATCCTTTGTGTACCTAAACATAAACGTTTTAAATAGAAAACTCTTACCAATACATATTTATAATTTAATTATGTACTTTCAGTGTACAGTAATTATTTTATGAATACTTTATTGACTAGCTAACTAAAATACTGTACTATTATTTTACTAAGGTAGGTATTTAATTCAAATTACTTAAATAACACTATAGTAAAACAAAATATTTTAATTTAATCTATGGCGTATGAATGTCATAGTATCATAGGTAGTCATTTGTTTTGCTGAAATATCAACATTTTGGTAAATTTTAGTAAAGAAACATAGTTGTACTAAAAAGTTTAAGAATTTATTGCGGTAAACTACTGCAATACATCTTACGACGACCGCCATATTGAATTGATTTTTTTTCATCTGTCTCTCTTACTTATGAACAGCCACTTCAATAAATTACATAACCTAAATGTTACAGCTAAATAAATGACACAACCTCTGCGACTTCATGCTCTCCTGATACCTACTTAGGGGCGTTCCAAAGGGTTTAATATTTTTTGTGACATATTTTTTTATTTCATTTTTTAAGCTTAGGTACACCTCGCTAAAGAAGTGTTAACTAACACTAAAAAAATATCCACTTTGTTATTGTTAAATGCGTCCTTTATTAATACATACTACCGTTATAATTGCATTAAAATATTCCCTTCGGGCTATTTAGCAAAAATGTTGCCAATTTAAGTGGATACTGTTAGGTATCTAAATTTAAACACGTACACCTATAGGTACCTAGGTATTGTTAAAACATTGTATGTATAAACTAAAATGCAAAATATAATGATAAAACACCTTAAAAATATACGAGTTATAATGATATTTGTAACACATTTATTTATACAACTGATGGTATTTATTATAAATAAAACTACAATTTATAAAACACAATAATATGTCTCAAGTATTTTCCTCTCGAACAAAACAATTTTTTTTTCATCGCAAGTAATGCTACAAATATTTGTATTTATTTTATTCAAGGACTATTACAAGTTATGTGGATTATACCATACCAATACCGTTTTTGCAATTAAGATAGCAAATATTAGCCACATAAAGTTGATTATATTAGGATTTTAATTAAAAAATGTACTTACATAGTTTACTCCTGGCATGTTATTATTTTAAATCTACCATAAAATCACTGTTTCTATGGCGTTTCCTAGCAACACCGTGATTATCATAGCAACAGAGTCAGTTGTCATGGCAACATACCGTATACGCGATGTTGACCCGTAAAAATCGGAACAATTAGATTTTTTTATAATTATTAGCGTTTTGCACGCCACGGTATTATTTGATAATAATGCGTGCTTGTAAAATACTGTTTATGTTATTAAATGCAAGCAGAAATATTTTAAAATTGTTGAGGCGAAACGATAATAAACTAGGTTACACGTAAAAAAATTACAAATTTAGGTGTTTGTTGTATTTACCTGTGTAAATATGATTGTTTTAGACCTTCATAGTATACTAGTAGTTATTATAAGTATAGTTAGTAAAATATAATTAAGTGGTTCAATAACAGGTGTTTTATATTATTAACGTTCCACCTTCTATAATATAATTCATTTTTTTTCAGACCAATAACAATCAAGGACATGTCATCGAGAACGTGAAGGACTGAAAACAAATAAAAAAAATTAAAATGGCGATAAAGTTAAATTTTCAGTGCCTAATTTTGGTTTTGGTGCTAGTGTTTGCAAATATAAAACAATGCAGTGCCCAGGTGGAGGAAAACTCGTGTTTCGGTGCTGGGTCGATTGCGGCCTCTGTGATTTTGACGTGCCTTTTTACCGTTTTGCTTATGATCGGGATCGCATTAGCCTGGAAACGATACAAGTCCAAACCAGGTAAGATTTTGTTAGGGTGTAAATTAAATTGAAAAATATTTAAATAAATAGGTTTGCTTATTAAAAACTAAGCACTTACAAAGATTAAAAAATGTAAAAAATCCTCAATGGCCAATTTACAAATATTATTTCCAAAAGTATAATTAATAATAATAATTATAATAATAAAATTATTATACGCTTTCTTATAATTTGAATACAATAATTAGGTATGTAACAACACCAACTCCCATAGAATAGAATTAAAACCCACATTTAAATGTTAATGACGACGATTTTTACTTCAAGATGACTAACATTTACATCCTACTCTAAGAATAATTCTGTTAAATATTTGAGGATGTTTAAAAAAAATTCTGTAAATATTATTTATAATATTCTGTAAATATTATTTATAATATAATTTGTGCCTGATCTTGGGCACGACACTTTTTGTTTCCAAATTATTGTGATTTGTTAGTTAGTATCGGCTCTAAATTTAAATGTGGAGAGTACATGCATAATAGTGGGTTGATATTAAATTAAAATACAAAATGCCTAAAATTCAAAAAAATAAAGTGAAAATCGTGTTTAACAAGCAGTTACACAGAAGTGTGCAAAAAGAAATCCAGTCAAAGATGCTCTTTATTTACTCTATTAAAATTAATTAGTCCAAAATAACCAATTGTCATAGCGAAAAAGCAGCCAATAATAATTATAGTCCACAGCAGTTTGTATCTCTGACATGTAGCAGTAAATTTGTATGTAAAATTGTCCGCTGAATCCGAAAATGTCATAAAAAGTTATAAAAGTTTATATAGTAAATTTACTATATCTCAAAAACTGCTTTACTTTTATAATTTTTGACGGTATTTAGCGTACAATTTTACATAGGAATTGACTGTTAAATGTCCGATATACAAATTGATGCTGCCAGTTATTAGTGGCTGCTTTTTCGCTATGACAATTAGTCATTTTTGACTAATTTATTTTTTCTACTCCCACCTTTAAAACGCCCTTTATCGTACATGTTTCCATGACACTAAGTGACCTTTTTAAATACACATTGACAAGTTGTGGCTTTATGGCGTTTTAGTCACGGGCTGAAGTTAGTTTACAGTTGTCAAATATACAATCGTTAAAATAAAGTGCCTTTCTTGTAAAATAATACTAAATGTGAAAATTATTTTATTATCTCAATACAAAAATACAAAAGTATTAAATAGTTTCTCAACGCCAATATTTAAAAAGTTTATATGAACATTGTACTGACCTTTTAATTTCGCCTGCAGTAAACTATAACTTAAATTCGGGCACGGACTCCACTGTAAAGTGCTCATAAAACATTTTCTTTACTTTCTCTGTGAAAAACTGTCAATTTTCAAGAAATACAATTCGATTTATAACCTTTATAATCTGTGTTTATAAAATAAAAAATTTGACATTTGACGGTGACACACAGATTACCCTTGTGTTTCATAGATGGCGCTCTATACAAATTTTTAATTTAAATCATTTTAAGATAATAATAAGTATTTGTCGTAGAAAAAGTATAGTATGCACCTCGTTTATAAACATTTCTATACACTCATTAATTTAAGCACTCGCTCGCAAGCTCGCTCGTGCCTAAATTAAATTCGTGTATAAAATGGCGTAAACTTATCAAACTTCATACATAATATACTATTAAAAGAGCATATAGGTATTCAAAATGTTAGAATTAAGTTATAAAGTATATATTATTATACATAATTATTAATAAGACATTATGCTCTTCGTTGCAAGTTTCTGATTTGTATCTAGTTTATCCAATTTGTTTCCAATTAAAAATAGTTTGGGTTCATTTGAGTTTTTTTTGTTACACAAATTAGAAACAATTTAGGCATAAACGGGTACACTATAGTATACCGGGCAAATTTTAGCAAAAATTCTGTCACATTTGTTGGGCAAACTGACGCTGTGTCGACACATTGCCCAAAATGTATCGGTCTTTGCTGCTTGGGAATAACTAGGTTAAATGACCACAAACTTAAAGTTTTTAAAGCATAAAAAAAATAATACAAATGACGAAAACCTAAAAATTTCAAACTTAAATAACTAATAGGTAAACATGGCAACAAATGAAATTACAGTAAAATGTAAAACCATTTTCATTTACTCATTAATATTTTTAATATACACATCGTTTATTTTTTACGATCACATGTTTAACTTTCTCGAAAACTTCAACAGTATATTTTTACCAAGTCGAAAGAGAAGTCAAGAAACTGTAAAATTCCAACATTTAATATGCAAACTGTGACATACTCTCTTCCTTTTTATATTTCAAATGCCGAAACATAAAGATAACCATATTAAATGGCGAAAATATTTGCCTCGAGCCTTTAACAGCATAAAAATAATAATAAAAACACATCCGATGGTGGCAATTAATATGCACGGCGTTTATTTTGTGGTAGGCAGTGTCCGGTTCGGTAAAAATTTCAGCTGTACTTCATTTCTAGATGTTACATCACCTGAATGTTTAATTTATTTGGTTTGCTTTGACGTTAAGATGGGTTTGTCTCTTTGTAAACATTACACCCACACAGTCTTGTTTTTTACTTATATTTATATCATAGAACCATATACCATGAGTTATCATGGCAAACTAAACGTTTCTTGCATACATACTTAAAAATAATGAAAAATGACAGCAAACAAAAGTAAAGACAAGTAAAACTGACAAGATGACAACTCAAAATCATCGACAAGCCAAAATGATGGCAAGCTAAAAACGTCGACAAATATAAAATTATAAAATAAAATAAAACAAAACAAGCAGCTAAAATGATGAGCAAAAACTACCAAAAATTAAAATTTTGGTATGTACAACATTTCAAATAACAGTGCAACACAAAATTTTAAAGCAGATTAAATTGTATAGATATACCTAAACTACCTATATATACTATTAAATAAACCCTCGCTGGGTTTTTATATATAACTTATAAGTTTTATAAAGTTTTTGAGTTTTAGGTTATCAATTGTAAATTGATATACCTCAAATTTCGCTTAAAAATTATACACTCACAGGCAAAATAATCGATCCACACAAATTTTCGATGAATTTCAATCGCAAATAGTTGTATGATGATTCAACAAAACTGTCACTGTCATCCTCCATAGGCTATGGATGGACCATAGCAACCTTAGTTCTTCATACAGGAAAAATATTGGAAATTGCAATGTTTTTTTTAAAAAAAATCCATATTTTCCCCTGACCCTGACAAGGTTTATTTTTTACAAAAGAAAAGTAAAATGGTTGGCCTTGGCTAAAGTGACCAGATTCTGTCAAAAAATAGCGGGACATTTTGTGTAAATTAACCTTAATTCGTAATTACAAAAATGACACAATCAACAATAATTAAGTAACGTCAAATTTACAATTTGCATTGTATCATTGTGTCAATTTTGTAATTAAGGTAAATTCATACAAAATATTTTTTGACAGAATCTGGTCACTTTAGCCTTGGCACTTTAGGGCCTTTTTTAAGTGCCTGTAAGAAACACAGCGTTTAAAACGATTATTAATCTGTATACCCGTACTGTTTGTTTAATTAGTTTAGTTATTTAAATAAAAAATATTTGTATAAATATTATTAAAACTAAGGAGTTACAGAGGTTTTAAATCCCCAGAGAGATTTTTAAAGTGACCATGTTGGCAACATTACATAAAACCATGAAATAATTATTTTTCCCGTGGGTATTAGGTAAAAAAACAACAAAGTTGGAATTTAAAAGTTTAAAAAATTAAATTAATTAATCTTTGTTGTTCTTACATACATGGCTTATCCTCGCATACCTTAGTTTTGCTGTAACAACAAAACAATTTAAATTTTTCAATCTGTTATCTGAGACAAATTTAAAAGGTCTTAAACCTACTTCGACGTTTTTATCTAATGAACTCTAATCAACCACTTTATCTTACATGAATAATTTTGAAATTTTCCCTCAGGGCACACTGTGAATTGCTGCAAGGTTTAAAAATAGTTTCTTATAAAATAAATAAATTAAAGTTATTAAATGAAAACAAATTAATTTACCAAGGCGTTAATTGGTTTCCAATTATTGTTTTAATGAATAGGAGAAAATTTATATTCCATAATGTTTTGTTTAAATTGTACAAGGAATAATAATGAAAACATTAAAGAAATAGCATGTGAAGATATTCCTATTGTAAGATAAGTTCTTATTTTAATAAATAAAGGTTCGTCGTTTTATAATTATACAGGAGGCTTAGCAGGCCTATTTAATCCTTTTATGAGATAGGCGCGTGAAGAAAAGATAATTATAATTATCTCTTCAAAAAATTATTAATATGTATTCTTCTTATGTTTAATTATGTTTAATTTGACAAAAAACTTACTTTATCATGCCAAATAAAAAATTAACGTTAAATTGCAAAATATTTATGACGGTCTCAGCAAAATATTGATGAATAAAGTCAAAGAGTTTATAATGCTTCCAGGTATTGTTTCAGTGAAATTGTATTATTAGAGAAATTGTTTTGTTTATAGTTTGCATTGTTAAAAAATACCAATTAAAACTAAAGAAAAACATGAGAAAACGAAGTTTTTTATTAAGTCCATTAAGTTTCCTTGTCTTATCAACTGTTGAAGTCTCTTTTATAATACATTGTATTTTATCATTATACAGACTGTTTGGTAGGTTGGTGTGCTGTTTAGAAGAATAGTGGCCTGTAGTTTAACTTTTTTTTGTTTACCAGGACCTTAGTCAATGATTAGTTAGTCATAGACTCAATTTTTAGACATATGACAAACGCAGAGTGTCCGAAATTTTAAATCGTAAAGTTAATAATTAATTATTAATAATTTATTTTTAACTTTTTATTATCTAAAAATGATTTAAATTAAATATTTGTATAGAGCATCTATAAAACAATAGAGTATCCAACTTGGCAATCTGTATTACAGGTGCTCCGGTAAAAATGTCAAATTTGTATGTGTAAATCGAAATTT